TGAATTTAGACAATTCACATGTGAGAGATTAATTTGTTTTTAAGAGAGAAGGTCATAAATTTAAGGTCCTTTGTAAGACCAAGTTGCAGGACCCAGAATTATAAGTAGCTACCAACCTCAAGAAAGCGACTGCTTCAGAAGAGTCAAAAGGGGACTGGAGAACTATTTCAGTTGTTTGACATTTTACTTTATTTACCTCACTGTTTTTCTGCAGTCTGCCATCAAGTTATCTTGGAATTAGATAAACCTGTCTATCCATCAGGTTTTTTTACCTCTAAAGTGTGGATAACCATATTTCCTAGCCCTCTGGGTTTTGAAAATTAAAATTCCTAGCTCTGTTGCGCTTTGAGAGTAGCATCTGGCACTAAGAGCTAATGATTAGCTATTATTACGAATATTAGAAAGACAATAAGCTTCAGTACATCAAAGTTAAATTTATAGTGACTGGAATAATGGGAGAGTGCAATTGCACTAAATAAACCCCCATCATTTCAATAAAGTATGTTGTGTTTACATAAAGTATGTTGTATTTACATATACCTCCCACCCTGGAATTTCCAGTGCTTCTATTTGGAATAAGGAAGCCTGTTAAGGCACTGTCAGGAGTAGATATTTAGTAATATCATTAACTCTTCTGGATAATTCTAAAACTGGTTAGTCCCCAGTAATTAGGTAAAATTAAATACCTCATTACTGGTTTTTGTTGCATTGATGTTTTCCTTGGGGGTCCTAGGATGTGGGCAAATGCCTAGTGAATATTTTAAGCAGTTAGGGTCATCTTCATCTTCTTCCTCCTTGATGTGCAGTTGTGGTGTTACTTCTGTAATGTTGTGGCCGTACCATGTGATATCTTGTTCTTGAGATCCTGGCAGCCATCTTTGGTATTCAAGCCCCTCACAGATTCCCTCATCTTCCTCTCCAATGGCAGGAAGAGTTATAGGCAAGGCACCCACGTGGCTGCATGCAGAGGCCACAAATTTATCACCTAGGACTTCAAGGATTTTGGCAGGGTTTGAAAAGACCCATCTCTTTTTATTTAGATCTATAAGTTTTCTTTGAGTGTCCTTTGTGGGATCCTGAAGAGACACCGTATCATCAGTCTGCACCCCAGCTGAGGCGGTACTTGAGTGAGGAGAAGGTGATAGGCAGCGGGGTGATTCAACTGGTACAGATGCTGGAGGCAGTGAGAGGGGGAGATGAGAGGGTTCCTCCTTAATTTCAAGGATGGCCTGGTTTAGGATGTTCACTTTGGCCTTGTCAGATGGCAAGGTTAAAGTACTAAACTTCTCTAATTCAACCAAGAAGTTGTCGAGGAAAGAGGATGGTGTTGGGGCCAATGGGTTTGCTGCTGGACACCAGTCTGTGAGTGACAGTGGCACTTGGGCAGTCCCCCGGAGGGCTCCTTTTTCTGTGCCAGGCAGAGAAGTGTATGTGGGTGGACAGGTCTGATCACTGGAAGCCAGCTTATAAATGAGCAGGAGTTATGAAGTGAAACAAAGAAAACAACCACATGTGAAAATATGACAGAGAGAAACAAAGGAAAGGCGTGGTGGTGAATATGATTTTCAGCTGTAGCACAGATGTTGATGGAAGATGCTTGGGAGATGTCTAGACTGGAGGAAGTTATTTGAAATTTAAATGCATAAAATCATCCAGACTAATTGTAAACCCTTCTTGAGCAACCTATTATTAGTTTTAGAAGGTATCTTAAGCATCAAAGGAGGAGATAGCAATTCATAGAGGTCAAGGAGACAGACAAATGGAACCCCGGGAGGCCTAATGTTAATCTGCCTCTGAGACTGCATGGGCTCTTATCCATATTTCAGATGTATCTGGGCATTGTTAGCACAGAAAAATATTAAATAACTAAGCTTTGCTTTAATCTCTGAATTTATTTACTGTTCTCCCACTCTGCAGAGGTGCCCATTCCTTTGAGTATTTACAATTGTCCCATGTACATGGCATAAAGTATTTGAGATTAGTATAAATGCTAAAAACATATTTGTTAATCATAGATCCCTGTGATCAGTATAAGCCAATCTTGCAGAAACAACTGCTTCAAAGTTAAAAAGTCCTCCCAAGTAAATGTTTACACAGAAGGCGACATGAGATCCTGATGCAAACTCATATTCTAAGCTTGATATTTTATGTAAGCCCAAAGAATATAATTTATGAGGCTGGATGTTCTGAGGCCAAAATATCATTTCTTATATTTGAATATTTTTTATATAATTTGAATATTTTAAATAAAACAACAACTGCAAATTCAAAAGGAATACTTTCAGATGGGCTGTGGACTATTTTGTAATTTATCTTGTTCTACCCTTGTTGGACAGGAAAAGCAATGCTACATGCTGTTCCAAGGTCATGAAAGATGCCGTGGATGACCTTTACTTTAGTGCTTTCTAGAGTGCTGCCACCGATGTGAAGTCATACTGTACTATACTGGTCCTACAGATTAACTCTCATTTGATAGTCTATGGAAGCCCTCTCACTAGCTAAAATTCAATTTTACACTTGTTGCAAGATTTGATCTCAGTATTTAGATTTTGGAAATGAGTTAGATTGATAGTAACTCAAGGTGAATAACTTTACTTTTTTTTCCCTAATGTGGACAGAAATATTATGTGCACAAGATATCTCTAGGTTTTGACATCATCGTTGCAATTGTAGTCTCTATTGTAATATGTTCTTACTGACTTAACTGTCACTGCCCTTGTGTTATCTCTATACATGTTAAAAGGCCAAAAAAGCAAACATTTAAAAATGGACTTGATAATACCAAAAGTCAAATTAAGTGTTAATTTTGATTAAGGAGTCCCTATATCACAAAACATACTTATAACACAAAATTAAAGTTAATTCATCTTTCTAAAATATAATTTATTTCTTTTTTATTTTATGTGCATTGGTGTTTTGCCTGCATGTATGTCTGTGTAAGGGTGTTAGATCCCCTAGAACTGGAGTTACAGACAGTTGAGAGCTGCCAAGTGGGTTCTGGGAATTGAACTGAGTTCCTTTGGAAGAGCAGCCATTACTCTTAACCGGTTATTTCATTTTAAGAAAGGGGGAGGTTGGGGGAGGGGAGAAGGGGAGGGAGGTAGACCTGTGGTTGGTATGTAACATGAAGAAAAAATAAGATGAATAAAAAAGGATTGGAATTGGATTCTATTGTACCAAAATTAGAAATAATAAGCAACTTATATATGAGCCTTTCTCAAAATAGAAATATGTCAAGCTATATAATTTGAACTTGCTGGAGTGATTCAAAACTCATTAGCATTCCTTTCTCTATTTTGCAAATATCAGTTAGAAAGTAGGAGCTGTACTTTGTTGCTGCTTTTGTATCTCACTATTTAAAAAGATGTATTTCTTTTTCTTGACCAGGGAAACATTACAGGAATTTCCTTCATTAAGGCAATAACATCATAGGATAGATAACCAGTGGAGACAAAACTGGAAATTCTTTCAAATTATGGATATAAACTTTGACATACTTTTTTTTTGAAACAGAAGAAGATAATTGGTTCCTAGTTAACTAATACATTCCTCTATTAAAATCTGATATTTGTACATTCCTTGATTCAAAATGAGGTACTATAACAAAAAACATGAATGGCATTTAAAACATATTCAGAGCAAAGACTGAAAACACTGACTTAAACTATAAGCTTGCCATTGTTAATTATAGCATATGGGAGAAGTTCTTCAATGCTAAGAAAGCATTTGTAGGTACATGCTGTTCTCTTCTGCATTGGTTTATTTAAAGGTTCTGTCACTAAAGAGTCATCTGACAGTTCTTTTATGATAAATGGATGGTGGGTAAGACATATGTGGATGGATAAAGATTCCTCCCCCCCCCCACCCACTTAAGAATAGAAACTACTGAAGGAAGGATGTTGATCTCTAATCTAACTGTTAAATTCTAGAACTTTCATAATCAAACTTGTGCAAACCACTCAGTTATCCAGTGATAGAAACTTTAGGGTAATTACCTTGACTAAACCCATTTTTTTTTACAAAAGGATTAGAACGAATAATGCCAAATACTGACTTTTTAAAGGAGGAAAACAGCTCAACTGAGATAGATTCATATGTTATTTACTATTCCCAGGTCATTTACTACAGAGTGGTTTAGGTCCCTGGACTCATTACTGAAAATGATCTTGGCTTCACCCATTCACAGTGTTTAATAGTCTCTTTTTGCACAATCTTGCCTTGGTCTCAACTAAGTTACTACTTTACACAGCCCAATACATCATTTTTCATATTGGGAGGCATTTGACAATAACTAACTGTAAAAGAAAAAGAAATCCCTATTTACACCCTTAAAATATCTTATAATTCAATAGAAGAGTGAGGAAAAAACATTTTGTGAATGAGGGAAGTAGGAGGATAACTAGGATAACTTTAATAAAGCAATTCAGGAGGGAAAATTCTCTTCTAAATTGTATCGAGAAAAAAAGCCATCTGCAGCTACCAGCTTAATTAAGTTAGTGGAATTTACAGCTCTAAAACTAATGAAGAAAATTTACTATTTCTAATAATCTATCATATTTTCATGCAAAGTTATAGGCCCAAAGTTAAGAATGTCTTGTGCTATGTAGAAAATGCCTTAAGACTTTCATAGACTATTGTACACCTACCAATTACATAGTGATGCACAATTTAGGGGGTAAATGTATCTATGTGTGCATGTATAATATATTTATACCAAAATACAGACATATATCAAGAAGTGCTGGTGATGCTAACATTTTTCTCTTTATGCACCTAAACTTGAGAAATGAATTAGCAAAAATGAGCACTCAGCCTTTATCCTAGCATGTATTTGAGGAAAATTAACTTAGATTTTCTGATCTGGAATTCACATATATGAATATAATATATGAATTTGTTTCTTTTCAATGATACCATGGTGTGATGGTCCCCCAAATCACCCACTCATTATAATCCTGAGATTCCAAGTTCAGAGTTAACATGATAGAACAGCTGCTTACCTTATTGGAACTTAGGCTGTGAATTCTATCACTAGAGTAGCTGTGGGGTATAGGAGGGTCAGGGTAATCATCAGCACCTTTTGTGTTCTTCTTGATGACTTCTACATAGGAGACAGGGAAGATGCCTTGCCTGTTGCTTCCGGGGATTTTACCTTCATACCAGTTTTGATCAACTCTTTTAAGAAGAATAATCCTGTCGCCCTGTAATGAGCATTGGGAAATGTGTTATAAGTAGAGACACAGGAAATAAAAAGTACAGTTGTCATTATTTTCTTATAAACAGTAGTTCATTATTTGGGAAAGTTTTATACCTCCTGTTTTGCCTTGATCAGAAGAATGCAAGTAAGGTTTTAGTGTTTATTAGAAAAGCATAGATTGTAGCATGGATGCATGATAAGCCTTCCATTCATAACATTAGAGTCCTAAGGATGCTTGGTTAATGGGAATGGGCTTTTATACATGTTTCATACTGGTACAAAGTACCCGTTATTTCAAACTGGCGGAAGTTATTTCAAAGGGCAGATGGTGTAGAGATGCCAGATCAATGACAGTAGACTCATTTATCAGAAGATGTATTTGAAATGGGTCACAAAAGCCATCCCCTGGAATGCATGAAGCAGAATGGTACACCATTTTCCTTCTTTAATTTGCATGTCCTGAGAAGTGTCAAAGAGCAAATAAAGCATGAGGCAAAGATGGTAATCTAGAATTTCCACAGCTGTGGCATGGGCTAACATCCCCCTGCTCTTATCAGGACACCAGCATCCATTCTACTTGGTGAATGGCTATGCCATTCTGGCCATTTGAATAAAACATGGGCCTTTGTGATAGTAGACATTTCTAATCACTGTTACGTTTCTTGCAGTGGGCAGGTCAATGCCAGATAACTTTATTTAACTTTTTACTCAAAACTACAAGAGGTCCAGAACAAAGTTAGCAAGCTGGTGTTAAAGAGAACGTTCTAGAAAATAAACTAGTCTATATTGAGTTCAGAATTGTACACTCTGTAAAAACACCCTGGTGAAGAACATAGCCAGGTTACCTTTCGCAGGGAGAGTTCCACGTTTGTGTCTGCATTGAAGTTGTATTTGGCTATGGCTTCGCCAATCTCTCCAGGCTGGACTGGGGGTGGTGGTCTGGCAGGCTGCGCTTTCTCTGGAGGTGTTAGTTTCTATAATGGAGAACAGTTATTGGTTCTTAACTTGTGATAACCTGTGGAACAGCATCCTTCTGGAGATAAGGAAAAAGGACGTACCTCCACATACGAGATTGGAAAGATGCCTACTCTTCCGTAGTGCTCCCCCTCATACCAGTTCTGGTCGATTTTCCTGAGGATGTAGACAGTATCTCCTTTCTTAAATGATAGCTCCCTGTAAGAGACATGACCAATGGACTCTTTCTGGATGAACAATAATTAATCCTATGATTGACATTCCAGAAGTACACCTCCCACATGAAAACATTTGCCAAGTTCAGTTAGGTAAGGACTTTTCTTACAAATTTCTGGAAGTCACTTATGTAATCTTGGGATTGATTTTGAAGAGCAAGTATATGGATCCACCCTGTATAAGCTGCATCCTGCGATGACATATTTGCGAGAGTATAGATTATTGTGATCTTGATAGTTTATAGTCATATATAATGTCTATAACCTAATAGCAGGAACATTTCTAAACATCAACTTAATATTTTTGAATATGTATGGAAATTATAGGCAACTGATTTTTTAAAATATGAATGTAGATCTTTTCTACTTAATATGCATTTAGAGTTCTGGATATATCCAGTAAAGGGAAAGTTGCATTATTCAGTTTTCAAAGCTCTGTCCCTCTCATGTCAGATCTAGAGTCCCATTTTGATAAATTTGCTGTATTTTTATTGCATTTTAAAATAATGGCAACTGTGGACCCATGGGAAATGAGATGTCATCTCTTCCCATCTAAAATTGAGACTTTTTTATGTGAATTAGTTAGCTTTAGTTTTAGACTTATTAGTTTTGATGTATTAAATAATAAAAATAGCTCTAGATGCATACTCATTTACAACATAGATATATTAGTGTGTGTGTTGTTCATATTTCATATCAAAACAGTCATATCTCTTTTTTGGCCATTTTAAAGGGACTAAAACTGTCTTGGTCTACAGTTTTCATAGGTATTTGGGTGTGTGAGTCTTGAAAGTTGTACAAGTTGCCCATCACTCTAATTTTTAGGTCAAATATAGAACCACACTGGAGGTGACGGGTGTTCTCTTTATATTTTCTGGGAAAAGAACAGGAGGAGGACCATTAAGCTATAATAAGACCAAACTATTTATAGGATGAGCAGACCCACTTTCTTTTTGGGCCGCTGTGGGTGGTTGGTGAATCTACTTCACCAAAAGCTCACACAGTTAGAGTTCATTAGACAGACCTGCTCATGTTCTCAGTGAAAGGTGGGATGGCACAGACAGAAAGGTGCCATGTTCTTTCACCCCACAGCAACATGGGAAAGCAAGATTCCCTGACTCTCCATCGGGGAACCCCAGAAGAGGCTGGGGTCCATGGATGAGGGGCAAACTAAAGCCAGTGATTCAATTGTCTTCCTGTGATGCATGTCGTCTTCTCTTTGAAGCCCACTTTATCATTTATTTTACATTTATTTGTGTGTGCCAGTATATGTGCACACACATAATACCACATGTAGAGATCTCTTGTGTATTTTTTCACTTTTATTTTATTTTTAAAAACATTTTTTGAGAATTGTATGCATGTATACAATGTATACAAATATAATGGCTATCAAATCAACCCCTGCTCCTTCCATTCTAGCATATCTCACACCCTCCACTTTCCCTCTCAACCTCATGTACTTCATGAAACACCCTTTGAGCCTTAGACAGATGTCCTTCTGGTGGTACATATTTAGGAAAAATTTTGTTGGCCTGTCACAAAGAATAAATGCAATGAATATCTTTGATATAATTTTCTCATAACGTCTTACCAAATGCCACATCATGACCCAAGAACAGTAATTAGGACTGGAGTATAGAAGAAACAAAATGCTGTTGTGTTCTAGTTCGTGTCTTGAATGCTTCACAAAGGCCCTTTGATACAGGATTTATCCCAAGCTAAGCACGACTGTGAAGTTGTTATAAATACTTTGAGGTGAAGCCATATGAGAGGCTTTCTGGTGATTGGTGGTGGGGTCATGCTTTTGAAGGGGACATCCCCCTCCAATGTACATGTATTATGAGCTCAGCACTAGTCTTCCCAATTGACTTGTCTCATCTTTTGAATGAAGAAGTTCCCAAAGAAAAGGGCTAAAAGGATGAAACCCAGGTCTAAGAAAACATCAACACTCAGTACACAGGACAGGAGCAGGCTTTCTTTAGAATCTCTAAGCTTTGAGTGCTGTGAGACTGAGCAGTCACTACAGAATTATCTGTGTGCAGGCTCCCATCCATGGACTGTACTCACAGCTGGACAGATAAATGAGGTCAATCTCTCCTCACTAGGTAGGGATAATTTCTTGACAGGAAAAAAAATAATCTTTATTCCTTATTATTTTCCTATTCAGACTTCATTGTGCTCCATTAACGTAACTGATGTGATTTAAGACCCAGGGATTTACAACTGAACTTGAAAACAAGTTATCCTATCCTAGTTAGCAATTTCAAGGGAGCTAGAGGACTAGACTATATTATAGACTCGTGAGTTGCGTCTTCCCACTGATATACACACATAACACACACACACACACACACACACACACACACACACACACATCTCCCTACAATAGTAAAAAATGAAGTTCAAACACGTAGTGAGTTTTTTATTTCACTTACTTAGATGTCTGAGCTTTGAAATCATAGACAGCTTTTGCAGGCAATTTCTGAAAAGAAAGGTAAGCATTCAAGCACTAATTTAAATATTTTAGATTTTATATAAGAAAAATAAAACACTGTAATGTAAGTGATATGTGCAAGTTACAAATGTATCAGTTAGTGCTACCTTTAAACTAGTGAGCTTCATGGGGATACAGTAGCTGATTTCTTCATTGGTCTGGAACTAAAGCAGATTAATGCTAGGATAGGATAGGATAGGATAAAATGTCCACCAAGGATTCTGTCCTAGGTATGTCATTTTTGAGTACTACAAATAGAAAATTATGGAGGGCCAGCTGATCTAACTTTTGTGGGTTGACACTAGTCTGTCTGAATCATAATAAAAGAAACAAAAGACACAAAGGGATTTAAATTCTTAACTTAATACTGATTATCCAGGAAGTAGGAGCCCAGTTATTAAGAGGTTAAGTAGCCAAAAATAGAAGAATGGAAGGTTCAGGAATCCTTTGGCTTATCTTTTCATTATGAAGTGGTGCCCATGCCTACCCTCAAACTCTGGGGCCCACAAATCTACTTGAGAAACAACATACCATGTAGCTAATGATATCAGCTCTTCCTTCCCACCAACCATTAATCCTTTCTCCCCTCCTCCCCCTTGTGATTCTCATGAGCCTCAAGAAATAGACAATTTATGACTTTGTAGGGGTCCCACAGGGTATCTCGGATACCTGTCAGAGTTCAGTTTTTAATTTTCTCCAAGCCCTCATGGCTTTCAATGAAGTTAGGAATAGGTAGTCCAGCCCTGCCTTAGGATGATGGACCAGCAGTGGTATATAAGAACTTCCCAACACTACAAGAACTTGATAGTTTTCTCCAGCCAAAGTACTGTGTAGAAACGTCCCTCCCTCCACAAAGAAGGCTAATTAGAACTCTACTAGTTTATGGCTACCAGGCCAAGACTCAGAAAAGCCTCATTGCCCAAAGTGCATCCTAAATTGGGAGTGACTGGAACTCAGGCCCTAGACACAGACTATAAGCAGAACTGCTTCTAGACTCTTCTTGTTGCTGTTAGGTTTCAGTCTGAATTCTTTCTGTGTCTGAGGTACACATTTGGCTGGTGAGTGCTTTCTCAGAAGGTCTTTTTAAAACTATTGAACTAAGTACCTCTTTTTCTGGAGTTCCTCTTCGTTCCCGTGATACACTTCTTCCCAAGTCAGTCAAAGTAGATGAATGACTTCTAGGTGACTCGTGGTCTGTTGGAAAGGATAAGGCAAAGCAGTGTGAGATTTAATTTCATTGAAAGGAGATTGGTTAGCCACTTTTCCCTGGAAGCAATTACTTTACCCCAAATTTTGGAGAGATGTCACTAATGAGAACATGGATGTAAAACTCGTAACTAACCATAAAGTATGATATAAGACACACATACACATTGAAAATGAAGAAATATACAACAGAAACATTATAATGATATAGAAAATATTATTATTATATTACCAATTAATTATACTGCAATCCTTGGTGTAGATGATTCACAGTTGTAGGGATTTTCATACTCCAAATTTATCATGCTTAATCTTTCTATTCCTTTTTTTGGTTTTAATATAAAATTATTATGATATATAAAGAATTTAAAAGTTACACATTTGTAGAAAGAAATGTTACGTCAAATACAATTTAAGAAGTATTGATGAAATGAAAGATAGAGTGTGAGCATTACAGGACTGTGGCCATAGTCCCCCACCCTCTGTGTGTGTGTGCCGTTTTCTTTCTGTTTGTAAATACTTAGTGGGTCTTATGATTTCATATCCTTTATGGCTTTCCCTTGTACATGAATGTTCAACTAATCAGAAAGTAAGTTATTACAGAAAATGAAACGATAACCAGAAAAGCCTCAGATGAAGTTGCCAAATTGCTTGTGATATATTGAGATCTTGTTCACATTAAAGCAAAGCATATATAATTACATTTGAAAATTATGACTGCAAATATCCCTCTCGGTTTCTTAAAATTTTTATAGTTGTGACTTGTATGTAGAAATGTAAATAAAGTTTGCCTATATTCTGGTAGCATCATGGAATTTTATCTGTGCACCTAGGTCTAAGCTTAAAAAATATTTATTCACTTTAACACATTTAAGTCTGTTAAATAGCACAAATCATTAAGATAAATTTTATTTATGTACAGTATATTTTTTCAGCATTTCAAATGTATGTTTTGATAATGTACTATGCTTATATAGGGGATCAGAAAATTGAAGAAGATAGTTTAGAAAATTGGATGAAACTTCTTTTAGTCTAAATAGAAAGTGATGAGAAATTCTAAATAATTTATTGAATTTAAAATTTATAAGTCTATTTATAAAACAATTAAATTATTTTACTATTATGCTATTATTCCATTTCCCATTGTATCCTTTTTACTATTGTGAGTTGCCATGTGCACACTGGAATTGGAACCTGGATCATCTGGAAGAGGAAGGAACAAGGGCTCCTAACCACTGAGCAGTTTCTCTAGCCCTACTTATTCTATCAAAGTTAAGGTAAATGTTAATATGTGAATAAGTAAAATTATCCAGTAGTTATTAACAGTTTTGTTTCCTGTGATCTTAGAAATTTTATTTTATAGTATACATTTTTATTTAGTATGGTCTTGAATTCTTTTGCCATTACTGTAATCTGGGTAATCTTGAGAAATTTTATCTTCTTTATCCATCAATTCCTCAATTGTAAAACAGCACTTAAAATAATCTATTGACTTATTGGGGGTTTCAATTAGATGATGCATCTAGCTAAAGTACTCTCTCTCTCTCTCTCTCTCTCTCTCTCTCTCTCTCTCTCTCTCTCTCTGCCCCTTCCCTGTGTGTGTGTGTTGAGTGTGGATAGATTTCTTTGAGTGAATAGGTACAATGTTCTAGCATTAATATAGAAATCAAGGAAAGGCTGTGAAACTACTGACTTTGATTCATAATGAATCAATAGATTATTTTAGGGATGCAGATATTGAATTATAGTTTTGTCTTGATATATTGTTTTGAATTTGAATGGTGATTATTTCAGGATATTAGATAACTGAGGAAATGGCTATTTTGTTAGAAAGTTGGATTCTGACACATCTTAATCTGAAAATTTCTAGAACCAGCTTTTAAAAACATTTTAATTTACTTTCTGTGAAGCATGCTGTGTAGCATCAGTGCAAATACACATAGGCACTAATGACATGGGGACCTATCATTTGCCTTCTCAAAGCCCTACTCATTATAACCTTAATATTAAGTGACAAATTGGGCTTTCTTTTATTTTGAAGTGAGCAAATGCTTATAAATTGATGATTACTTTCGATCAATACATGAATGTCAAATACTACACAGGCAAATGAGAATGACCGAGTCAGACACGTCTGCACAACACAGGTTTGCTTTGTAACACATAAAGACGTCAAGTGGTCTCACGGCTCAAGAGTGATGAGATATAGGATGGAAAAAAAAATAATGAATGAGTGGGAAGATGGCGGCTGAACCACAGGGAAAAAGAAAGGAAAGTTCATCCACCTTGGAGACTCAGTGCACTACCATAGTCCTGTGCATGGTAGCTGCTGTTGGCTGTGTCCACATCTGGGAAGGAGGCACTGTGAGGCATCCTCCCACAATCATTTTGGTAGAGTGGACAATGAATAGCACCATCTTGAGGCAGTGGGTGGAAAGGCTGGTGCATGGGGCTCCTTCTCAGAGCATTAAGGGATGAATTCCTTTCAGGGATCTCTGGCAACAGTTCACTGATAAGCCTATGCAATATACTGTTGTCTGGTAGGCTTCCCCTCCTTTTTTCAGCCTTTATTTGGTCGCAGATGTCTTTGAGGGCAGAGTCCAGAGCCTCAACTACAGAGGCTTTGCATTTGGCCTGTTCAGTCTGTTTTTTGGGAGTCACATTCTTTTTCCTCCGGAAAGGCACAGGGCTGACTAGAAATGCAAGTTTAGATAGGCTGGGGTCCATTTCTTGCCTTCTGGGTTGGTCAATGTTTTCATGTTTAGCTCTTTCATGTTTTAACATGGTGGTAAATCGAGTGTAAGAGGCTGGGCATCGGCCTTTGCAGGAACTGATGAGGTGCCGATGATGGTGGTGGTGGTGGTGGCTGGAGCCATAGAAGCTTTCAGAGGATGTGAATGAAAAATGATCAAAATCACTTTCACTGCAAAAGGATGACCCTTCTACATGAACATAGTCGCTGTGGTCAGACACAACTCCATCTTGGTCACTGTCGGAAAACTCTATGTGTGTTCTGGGATGCTCATCGCTTGTGACTTCGATGTGGATGGGCACCAGGGTTTTAGATTTGCAGCTTCGCTGACCCTGAGAAGGTTGTCTACCCTGAGTTTCTTCCTCTAGCAGAGACTCAATAGAAAACCGCCTCTTAGGACACAGACCATTTTGTTGGGGTTCTAGGGTTACAGGAGACAACATCTCATCCCCTAGATTGGGCATGGACTTGGACTTCTGTATCAGCTTTTCAAATTCTGAAATGCGGGTGGGCACCATGTCCCTGGGCACCTCCTCGGTGGAAGACTGGCTCCATCCGTGGAGCAGACCCCTGTGCTGCTGTTCCTTTTCATACTGCAGTATCCTGGACTTCACAGAGCAAATTACCTCTGAATTCATCAAATCCTTGCGGTTGATGCGATGCATTTTCTTGTACATTTTGAGGAAGCCTGGGGCATTATGGGCTGACCTGTGTTTGATTCTAGATCTGCTGTTACCACACACTTCCTGGATGTAGGGGGAAGTCCACATCATGGGGCAGCCCTCTTTGGAGTCTTCTTCACATAACAGAGAACCCATACTTTCTGACTTGGCTTTAGGGTCTGGGAAGCTGTCGCAATCATCATTCAGGAGGTCATCACAGCTACGTGATTTGATTTTTGGGGACACAGTCTCTTCAGTGCTGCTCCAGATCTCCGCATTTTGCCGGGCCATTTGCCATCCATTCTTGAAGGTGATGGCCCTTTGAGAGTCCCGGGGACATCCAAATGCTGTCTATAGGCGCTACAGTATTCTAACTCACTAGAGGGGGTGCCATTGAGCCCCGAGTAACTACAAAGGGTTGGGCACATTTTGCTATCATCCCCACCTTTCAATCCAGAGCAGCATGGCAGGAGAGAGACATTTGGAGAAGTTAAAAGGTTCACAAAGAGAGGAGAGCATGTCAGTATTAGCACAGCAAAGAGAAGGCAGTTAGTGTGGCTTAATCTAGGCACCGTCACACACATAGCTTCAATTAAAGAGGAATGCCTGATGCTAAAACATGATAATGTTTTTTCAGTGCAACTTTGCAGATACTACAGTAAACCAAACCACACACGAAATAGACTTGGTGTAGCTAACATATTCTTACTGCATAATTTGGTGGTGGTTTGAGCAACAAGACATGCCCAAACCACAACTCTAACCACAACTCTAACCTATCAGGCTAACAGCATAGCTATCTCTATTAATAATTTATGAATTACATCCTCTCCTGAATTCTCCAAAAATTGGGCAATTCATTCAGTTGATGTGCAATACTTGGGAAAGGAACTTGACTTAACTCTTCATGGTAAGAAAAAAATAGTTAAATTTATCAGGATCTTTTACATTTTGGGTTGTACCCAAGAATGATGAATCCATGGCATTTCATGACTGACTTCTTTCTTAGATATGATATGATGAAGGTATGTTAGTTAATGAGGAAATTACTTTCTGAGAGCTAGTTAGATCTTAGATGGTGCAGCCATCCACCTACACAGAGACCATAAACAGTCATCATAAGCAGTCTGTCTTTTGCACACCACCCACTGCTTCCATTTAGCACTGTGTGGCAACAGTGTCAGGGCATACAGTTGTTAGGTGCACTCCACTGTCCCACTCCATGGACACTTCTGTTCTAATTTTCTTTACATGCTTTGAAACCCATTCTCTTCTATCTTAACTCTCAAAGACTGGAGGAGATTGCGGGGCCCCAAATTTGACATGCTACTGACTCAGTAGATCATGGGTCAAAAGAAAAATAAAAAGACCCAAGTAGTGGACCTGAGACCCAAATAAGCAACTCTGTCCCTTCAATGTTTAGGTTACTGCATTTCCAAAGAAGAGAAGGCCATCCTTCACTTCCTTTCTTCCTTCACTTCTTTTCCTCCTTCCTTCTTTTTCCGTGTATGTGTACATTTAAGTAGAGGTCAAAAGACAACTTGTGGGTGTATGTTCTTTCTTTACTATATGAGTCCTGGTGATTACACTCAAGTTGACCAACTTGGTGGCAAGGGCCTTTCCACACTGAGTCATCTCACCAAGGCCCCTCATTTCTAAATGTTGTATTTGTGGCTTTAAGCCAGTATTTATTTACTGTAAACCATCATGGACCACTGTGTTGCATGGTAGAATGTGATACTCTACCATACAAATAAAGGTTGAACAAAATGGAGCAAATGACTAAAGGCATGTCTTAAATAAATTACTTTCTAATCCAGAATTTAAAGTACCCCATTGCATGTTTTAAGCAATATTTTTCTGTTGCTATTAATAATTCTTATTCTACAAATTTAATTACTTATCTATAATAACATCAGAAAATTTGCTTATGTAAAAGCCTATAAATGCATTTCTATAAAAATGACAATAAATTATTTAATACTTTGAGTTTTTTTTTAGAAAAAACACAATTCAATATATTTTGAGAAAATAGTAACAAGCTTGAGTACTTTAAGACATTCAAATGGCTTGACAGTTTAAATTGGATTAGGTAGCAATGGCTTTGCTGGGCAATGGTATTTGCTTCAGGACACTATAAGTAAAACAAACATAAGTCAAGATCATGGGCCCTCCCCCCATACTCTGGGCTAAATTGTGAATTAACATGCTTTGTTCATTTATTGTGGCTCACCTTGGGCTCTTGATGGAGAGGAAGGAGAAGAGCTAATGAAAGACTTCGTCAATGTGGAACTTGATCCTTGGAGGTCTGCTCGCCCCGGGCTGGTCCTGTTCATACTCTGATCACCCAAGCCTCTGGGTGGGCCCACTGCAGGTTCACTCTTCCTCCGTTTCCTAAAGTCACCAGCCATGCTTGCAGAACTGACAGGGGGAATCAGTGTCACTTTGATGGGGATTGGAAGAGGTCAACAAGTGTGCGAGAAAACTGATGATACATTAGATAAAGGTGTAATGCCTAACCTACCCACAAAGTTGCATGGAGAGAAATTCATTCCTTCACATTCAAATTCTTTCTTTAGACTCATCTTTAAAATATGTATTGGATTCATTTTATTTTTTTATTTAATTTTATATAACAAAGTCCAATTAAATGAAAACAAACATTTATACACAATATTTGGGAATTTGGGCGTCGTTCTTTCCAAACTACTTCCTGCTGGTAAGGGGTGCTGTCTTCATTTTTAAAGGAAAGTTTCAAGTTGCAGAATATCTGACTGGACTGTATAGGTTCTTCATATCTGTAGGTTCAACCAACTGTGACTGGAATTATTAAGAACTGAATCGCTGGTGAACACATACAAACTTGTGTTTTTACTCCCTATGTGATCCATTATAATAACCACTTATGTATGTAACATTTATACATTTTTATCTATATGTATGAGTGTTTTGCCCGCATATATGTCTATGTATCATACCTAGTGCCTGGTATGCATGGAGGACAGAAGAGGGCATAGGATCTCCTGGAACTACAGTTACAGATGGTTGTGAGCTGTCATGTGGGAGCTGAGAACTGAATCTGGGGCAGCAACTGCTCTTAAACACAGAGCCCTTTATCTAGTCCCAACAACTTAGTTTTTTTAAAATAGCATTTGTGTTTCATGAGGCATTGTACATATTTCAGAGTATATAGAAGGTAGGTTATATGTAATTTTTTTTTGAGACAGGGTTTCTCTGTGTAGTGTTGGCTGTCCTGGAACTCACTTTGTAGGCTAAGCTGGCCTCGTACTCACAGATCAGCCTGCCTCTGCCTCCTCAGTGTTGTGGTTGTAGGTGTGTACCACCGTTGTCTGCCCACGTAAGTATTGTGCCATTTTTATGACACTTCTGAGTCAGTAAATTTTGGTATCCTTGGCGAGTCTTAGAACATGTCTTCTACAGAGATCAACAGACAATTGAGCAGAGAACTCTTCTATGCCCACTTCTTTTTGAGCATCTTTCTCTTGACATCTTCTATCGACATGAGTAACAGCTAATGACCCTATCTGCATATGCCATGTCTCAAAATCTGTCTTTTATATATAGGGTTCATGCTATCTGTGACATACTTTAGGGGTTTGTAAATGCATCCATCATGAACATGCCTTGTAGAATACTTCTGTTCCTACTAAAGATTCCTTGAATACTATTTCCTCAGTTTTCTCTTTGTCTTTGTGTTTTGTAAAAACCATTGATCTTGTCTCTATGATCCACCATCTCCAAATGTTACACAGTTGAGATCAGACAATATGTAATCTTTTCAGATTTGTTTCTTCCATTTGTAATGTGCCTTTTTATCCATGAGTTTAAAAAAGACATGATTTTGTGGGGCTGGAGAGATGACTTGGCAAGTATTTATACATTTTGTCACAACTATATGGAATTCCAGTTCCATGGGATCTAACGCCCCCTTCCTGCATTCACAGACACCTACATGCACCTGGTATACATACATGCACTGAGGCAAAAATACATATAATAATCTAAACATGCAATCCAGGATGGCTTCAAACTAACTATGTAGCCAAGGATGACTTTGCCTTTCTGATTGTCTGTCTGTACCTACCAAGTGCTGAGGTGACAGGCCTCTAGCACCATGCCTAGTTTTTAATGCGGCATTGGGGACTGAAGCAGGTTTCATGCATCCTTGATAAACATTCTCTCAAGTGTACTATGTCTCCACCTTTTCCCATGTCTTTTTTGTGACTTTATAGCTTATTTCTTATTGATGAATCACATTTGATAATATAGATGTTATTTACCTAAGAAATAACATCTTAATGGACTCTAGGACTTGGAAATTTTGGAAAAAAAACCGTTTTAAACATTCATATGTAGATTGCTATTCTCTCTCTCCCCTCTTTCCCCTCTCTCTCTCCTCTCTCTGTCTCTGTCTCTCTCTCTTTCTCTCTCTCCCTCTCCCTCTCTGTGTTTATAATCACCCTTTAAAGCAAAAATTTCCCTGCAGTGAACTTATTGTTCTTGGCAACTCAGTGTTATGATTCCTATTTGTTTCATATATATTTTGTTTTGTGTATAAAGAATTCTGGCAACATAATTCTATCTAGAAAGAAGTGTTAAAATAGAAGGACCATGTGAAAAAAGCCATCTAGCAAAATGTCTCTTCTACCTAAAGGATTATCTTTCGCTTTCCTAATGTGTTCAGAAGAACCTTAAACCAGAATTCCAATATTTAAATCATGAGTGATTAAAAATCTAGTCAGCAAATAAACTGTCAAAAATTTCCTTTACACAATTGTAGAATATGATGGTGGTTTATAAAGAAAGGGAGATTTTTTTTGATCATATATTTGAGTAGGGTACCATTTTAAAAAAATCAAACAATTGGATACATGCTACATACTGTCCTCCAAGTCACTTTCATTATGTAAACAACTATGATGACACTGTGCAATATTAATTTCTATTGAACTACATCTGAATTTTGGTGATTGTTTCAATTAAGTATGTTATTTAAAAGATATGATCCGAGCTCACATTGGTTGACTCTGGGGACAGTTATGACTAGTGGTGACAAGTTAACTTGTTTCAGTCTGCTACTGAGCTTAAACATTAGCGTCTTCAAAGATAAGTTGGTGGCGTGGTTTTTAACACATGGTGTAGTCAATGGGTTGAATATGTTTATGGATGTGGGATGCCTCAAAATGTAGTGAAAACAATTTGTGTGATCAAAGTTTAAGTAAATAGCAGTAGTTTCTAATTTATAAAGGGTTTCTAAAGCAACATTGAGAATTAGTTATTTTCAACCCTCACTGGAAGACAAGAGGCAAAGGCAGCAGCGGGCAGAACCGACCCTTGTGAAGGATTACATTGTGGAGTTTTAATAACTCTTGGATGTGATCATATAAAATGATATGCAAACATATAAATCAAGCATGAGGTCTGGTACTTAAAATAAGAACACGAGATAATGATCTTCATCAGTATTTCACTAAGAAAGAGCCCTTTATCTAGTCCCAACAACTTAGTTTTTTTAAAATAGCATTTGGGGAAGCAACTACTGGCATAGAGTATTTTGTTAGGGTAATGTCATGAGATCCTTACCTACTGGGTCTTTCCAGGCTTCTGTCAATAGTGGACTGATAGATGGAGGCCTGTTAAGATAGGGCAGCAGTCTCATGAAAAGAGTTACAATAACAATTTTCATTTATTTCTCACCATGAGTTTTGCATTCTAAAAAGGGTACTCTAAAATTTAGAATCTAAATATGGCAATCGAAAGAATAATTTATTCTTACAAAACATGCCTTTCCAAAAAAGATAACATCTTTGAATTTCCTCTTAACAAAATACACTGCATTCTGTGATATAACACAAGCAAGACATTCATTTCATCAGAAAGAAAAGGAAGAAGGAAGAAGGAAGAAGGAAGAAGGAAGAAGGAAGAAGGAAGAAGGAAGAAGGAAGAAGGAGAAGGGAGAAGGAGAAGGAGAAGGAGAAGGAGAAGGAGAAGGAGAAGGAGAAGGAGAAGGAGAAGGAGAAGGAGAAGGAGAAGGAGAAGGAGAAGGAGAAGGAGAAGGAGAAGAAGAAGAAAACGTAACCAGTAACATTATCATGAGGAACACTGACTGGATGAATGAATAAAGTTAACTTCTGCATAAATTTCAGGCACTCAATAGCTGTTGAGGTAATAGGAGCTTTCTACATGAAGAACTGGCTTTATTTGCAAGAAAATATTTGCAGTTATCATTAAATCCTTATAAAATATGAAGTTCTTTATAATTTCATTTTTATTAGCAGATGTTATCCTAAAAATATAGCATATAAGTGGAACTTGAATGTCCTTGCTCTATAAACACACATATTATTTTCATAAAATACAAAGAATTTGATTAAAAATAAACCCAAATTATGTGGGACTTGAGCCAGACACAGAGTTATAAATGCTGAGCCATTTAAGTTCAGAATTAGTTTAAAATGAATGAATCAAGATATACTCCTTTAAATGGTATGCTTTACACATCTCATTCTGAACATACTAAAACTGAAGCCACGCAAAAGCAGTAGATAAAGTTTTTATTGTACATGGCTGTTTCTGAGACACTTGCTGAAATATCTACATTACAAGAGAGAGGAGGTATTGAGTTTCTGAGGGGACATTGCAAGGTAGAAGCAGCGTGTTGTGATCTCCATACTCACAGCAAACCTATTCCCAGTGAAAATATTTTGACTTTGGTCATGTATATTGCTCAATTTATCATCAGAGATGAACTTCGGTTTGTTGAAAAAAATAAAAGTTATTTTGAAAATATTTATGCGAAGGCCTAAAATGGTCAACCATAAAAGGCAAGAGTTGATGAATTTTATCCTAAGTTCCTATATAGATAATTTTTTAATCAGTATATTAAAAGCCTGCTTAGATGAAATGACCATCTCTCTTTATAACTGATTTCTACTATTCTTTTTGATTAACTGGTAAATACGATCAGTTTCCCAATTAAACACTAGATTATAACTTTATGAATTGTATATAGATCAGTCTGACAAGCTTCATGCATAATATTTTGCTTTAATTCCATATTACTGATTGAGAATGGAATTTTACCCATAGTAAAACAAAGGATTTATTGACATGAAAATGTTCTTTGGACAGGAAAAGCATATTTAATACTTGTACTTCTTAGAAAATTCTTATATTCCCATGTCAACAGATATGAGAGTAGAAAATTACTATGATGATAAACTTACATAATTATTTGCATTTTTCTGAATTGGATACTAGAAAGTAAGGAAAACATAGTAATGAAGAAAGAAAAATGAGTAAAATAATATTAGGTAATTCTACATGTTTACAGAAGTGATAGAGCCTCAGAGTGTCACTACCTGTGGGTCATGGGGTTTTATGGGACAACCTGACAACTCAAAGTGTCAGATTGAGGATGCTCTCAGAATACCCCTAATAAGATCAGAAATATGAACTCTCAGTTATGATAAGCTTGGGTAATGTTGCAATATGAAATAAAATACTGTATGAGAATTGATGAAGTATGTTTCTGAGTTAGGACAAACTGTGATTACTCTTCCTTGTCTTGTTTCTCATAATCCACATAAGTGTGTGTGTGTGTGTGTGTGTGTGTGTGTGTGCGTAGGTCAAAATGTAAGGGGTCAATTCTCTCCTTATACAATATGGGTTCTGGTATCAAACTCAGGTCACAGCTGAGTCATCTTGCTGACCTAAAAACCATACTTTGATTTTCTGTCTCATAAGAAGAACTTCAGTTGTCAATTATAAGGTAATAATAAAAATTAGACTAATAATTAAAGCAAAACCTTGTACAATAATTATGACACTAAAATGGAGAAAAAGGAGTTCCAAGGAAAGCACTAGTCCATTTTACCAAACACAATGTGCTCACCATTTGCATCTGATCACTATTTTAACACAGTAGAAGGTCATTTTAAGGACAGGCAGACATTAACTCATTCTTTCTGCTAAGAAACTATTGGTTAAACTTTGCAAACAAGTTCTTAACTGTGTTTTAGATTTTATTTCAAGCTAGAAAAGTGTAGGTTTCATTATGACATTTGCAGACAAATGTTTAGTTAAATTTGATTTGAAAATATGTCATTTGTAACATATGTTTGACAAAAACCAGGTATTTGATCAATGATGGCTTAGGTATTACCTAACAATTAGTTTTTAGTAGAAATGTTATTAAAGGTAGGATCAAAATATCTTATGGGACTATATTCTCTTACACTCTGAAAGGCTATCTTCTCACAAACACCTTTGTTAACTATACTATTAAAGTCACTCATGCCTCTCAGTCCCCAAAGATAAGGACATACAGTTAAATTGCTATCAAACTGCTTTTTAAATGTAGTATTTTGGCCACTACCATAATGTAAAACGTGCATTAAATTAAATTTTTCCCCAAAACTCAATGATAAAAAAATAGTTTCCCTCCCTGGGGAGCAGAAAGGGGATGGGATGGAGATTGGTGGAGGGAACAGGGGAGGACGGGAGGATACAGGAACTGGGATTGACATGTAAAACAAGTTGGTTTCAAGTTTACATAAAAAAATTATCAAGAAAAAAAATAGTTTCTAGAAGAGCCAAGCTCTAAAAGCATCTATCAGGGATGAGGGGGGAAAGTGTGGTATAAAGGAAATAGTTTTGAAACAAAGGCTGAGAAATTAGTGATTTATTCTCTTGATAGCCATCTTAGTAGGCCACTATAGATATATTCCTTAAAGTTATTCTCTTCATTTTTTGTAACTAGAAATCCAATGAGTTGAATATATTTTCTAAGTTCTGTTTCAAAATTAATGAGCCAACTACTTTTAAAAAAGTTCCAGAAATATCTGATCAAAATACCTGGGGAATATTTATAAAATGTTGATTCATTTATCTTAACACATCAGTATAACACTGAATTTAAAAAAAAAAATGGAGCCAGGTGGTGGTGGTACATGCCTTTGATACCAGCACTCAGGAGGCAGAGGCAGGTAGGTCTCTGAGTTTGAGTCCAGCCTGCTCTACAGAGATAGTTTCAGGACAACCAGGGCTGCAAAGAGAAACCCTATCTCAAAAAAAACAAAAAACAAAAAACAAAAAGACCCCCAAAAACAAAACAACAACAACAACAACAAAACAATAGTAGCCATATATGATAAGTATATCTCTCTCCCCAATGGATTATAAATCTAGCCAAAGTTCAGCAATACAGTAACATAGTTTTGGTGTGGAGACACAAGAAAAATATTTGATTGAATTGAATTTCAAAATATATTCTAGGTTGTCCATATGCTGCAATGATACAACCTACAGAGTAGAATTATTTTATTTAATTCTCTTTAGAGAGCAGGCTTGCCTACAAAATATGAGTCTTGAAAAATTACTGAATTCAACACCTCAAAAAGTTTCTGATTTCTAGATTTTACTTTTTATTTGATAAAATTTTTTTCAGTCTTTTAACTAATACCATGATTGATGGTTATTAGATGATCTATAACTTGGAGTTGCAGATTAAATTTTTGGAAATTTGAGTATTTACTCTTCAAACTTCATGCCTGCAATCTGTCAGGACATTGTGTGTCCTTAGCATGAGTTCTTGGCTCATATCTTGCACATAGCTTGAATGAGGCTTTTACAATGAAAGTAAGATATTTATTCAGTGCTGTGTTCACTTAAAAGTACACAGCAACTACTGTGACAAAATTGGTTGACTCTGTGTGCTGCTCTCCTGCCTGGCTTCTTTGCAGTGTGCCTACAGGAGGCTTTTATCTGCCTGACAGTTAACACAGCAGTGACATATCTATTGTGTCTTCTAAGTGCTTCTCAAAATAACCTTCTGGCTTCTTTGTAGAGGGCAAAGTTTGACTTAAGAGTCCTTTCTGTTCCTTTTCATATACTTTTTTCCTTATCCAGGTTAAAATTTTCATGGCCTGACATAAACTCTTCACCCAGCTATTTGGCTGATTTTCATAAGCATTATTATTATTATTTTTAAAAGGTTTACTTAGTTTTAGTTCATGCATGTTTTGCTTGCATGCATGCCTCCTGTGAACTATGTGTAGGACTGGTGCTGGTAGACCCCAGAAGAGGGTGTTACAAATGGCGTTGTGGATGTTTGTGAGCTGCCCTGTAGGTGCTGAGAACCAAAGCCATGCTCTCTAAGAGTAAGTAGCTAGTGCTCTTCAACCACTGAGTCATCTCTCCAGTCCCATCCATAAGCTTTTGTCAGCAGAGACTTCAACTGAGTCTTACTGCACATAGCAGTGACTATCTGCTCTAGTGGCTGCCTGAATTACAATTCCAAGAGTTAGTGGTGCCTGTGGAACTGGGAAACTGGAACACCCATGCCAGGTATTTGTTATCTCTATTCTTGACTGATAGTAAAATCCACTAGCATTTAGTAAAGCAAAAGATTAGCAACATTTAGAAAAATATAAGGAATACGTTTCTGATTATATAAGAATCAAAACTTAGTTTTTAAAAAACCATGTTATTCTGTCTGTATGGGTATAGCACTTTTGCCACAGCACATGAGAGCATGCTCTCTTCATGCACAATGGGCAGGTTCCAGGGTGGAAGTCAGGCCATTGGGCTTTCACAGCAAATACTTTTTCCCTAATGAGCCATCTCCATGGCTCAAGAACCTCAACTTTTGAGTCTGCACCTCCTAGATTGTTTTCTAGAAGACTTTCAGTAGTACCTTTCCCAGTTTATGAAAACAGGCAGTCAATACATGCTCAAGTTCAAGAGTTGGGTCTTTTATGCTACTGAATATTTTAGCTGGAAATAACAGTTGGAAAAAAATCTATCACCTGGAATTCAGAAACAGCCAACCCCTTCACAGTGTCTAGGAATGCTGCTACATGCAACACAGTGATACAAAGAGTTTCCAAAACCAACCGGAACAATACAGGAAACTGTTAAAAAACACGCATGTTCAGGCTGATAGTAATGGAGGGGAAATCTGGAAGGAGAGAAGAATTTGTCTTTACCTCATTGGAAACACCGGAAGAAGGATCTCGAACATAGTCCAGAGCCTTTTTAGGAGGCTGGGGGTAGATACACCACATAAGCAGAAGTGGAGAGATGGGATGGATGGAGGAGAGTCAATGGCAGCGAGGAATGACCATGTGGGAAAGGTGACAATGGTTAGAAATCGAGTGCTGATAGAGAATCACATACATATAAAGAGCCACGTGAATGGAGCAAAATGGCAGCCTAGGAGGAAGAGTGCAATGCTTGTAAACATTCCCCAGCACTGTGAAAAGCTGCTTGTGTTCAATTAGTAGATTTGTAAACTTAATCTGTCAGATCCAAATTAGCACTCCTGGTCTTTGGCCACAGTAGATTGCATGGACATCAGAGAAATAAGCGAGAACATGCAGGTGAGTGTCCTTGTGTGGCTGAGGAGGATGGCAGAAAGTGATGATAATTTGGGTTCAACACAGAAAATCGGTACAGTCTCTAGAAACTTTCCCCCAATAATAGCAAACACAAAGCAAAACAAGAGAGCATTTTCCCAATAAATAAAATACATTTTAATAAGAGGAGATACCAGAAAAAAATAGGAGGAAACAATCCTCTTATTAGGTAATAGAAATGCCAGGAAATTTTGTTTTATATTCACTTACAGTCACATTTGATTTAGTTCAATAAAACATACAATGAGGTTAACCAAGAGTGCATTTTAATGCATAAAAAGGGCTCTCATAGCCATCCAGTAAGGAATATGTAATCGGCATATTTATAAATTCTTAAGTGACGTGGAGAAAGAACAGATTCTGGGTTCTTATAAAATTGTTGGGCAGTGTAAATGATATGCTGTTCAACAGTTTAGGGGTTGTAAAAAAATGCATGTTTCAGAAAACATGAAACCCACAAACAATTCCTCAATAGAGATCGAATGATTAAAGGAAGTTGCATGAAACCTGAGTTGACCTGTCCCAAACAGATCAGACCCCATGAGGGTCAAACTGGGGGGCTTTGAACATGGGAATCTGGAGATAAGAGATCTTTTGGTGGCTCATGATCAACACTATAAATCAAGGTCCACAGGGCTTTTAAATTCTTTCCTTTTTGTTACATCTCTTCTATTCAAAGAATCATTTTATAGTGGGGATATTTATAGTGGGAATGTTCTGACGGTACTTTTAGAGGAAACTGCCCAAAGATTTTGTTGTACAAAAGGCCTAGATTTGGGCAAATTCCTTGACCTTTTTTTTTTTTTTTTTTTTTTTTTGTTATTGGAGCTGGCAAGTCATTCTTGAAGAAGGCAAGGTACTTGTTACTGTTAAACTACACCAAAATGTGTTGTACAAAATACAGCTTTGCCCTAAACTAACTCAACATGATAGATATGCAATGAATTAGATGTGCTTCTAGTGCATGATTAGGAGAAAACACATGGGAAGTGAAAGAACACATTTAGGCATTTGATACAAGAGTGAATTTGCACAAAGCCGGAACATGGATATTTTATTCATCCAGCTTTTGTTCTTGACATGACACGTCTCCCTCCTGGCATGATTATGTTTTTGACATCAAACAACATCCTCCTATTTATTTGTCTTATAGTAATTGTCTAGCCTCACTTACCGGACGTCCAAATTCCAGTTCTGAAAAGAATTTATACCAGGGCTCATTTTCTAAATCTATGTCATCTGGATTTATGCGACCAGTCTAGAGCAGATGTGAAGGAAAAGGGAAGGAAAAGGCACACTGAGCGAAGTGAGGAAAAAACACCATGTGGTATGAAAACACACACGCATCCACAAACCTCACACACTCATCCAACAAACCTCAGCAGGACAGAATGGAGAAAGTAAAGTACAATGAGCAAAATGAGGATATGAAAATGAGGGTCCGTGGCATTGTTGGGGTCCCTGTTGCCACCATAGCTAATTCGTTAGCCTGTTGCATAACTAGGGGAAGTATCCTGGTAGTGACCGTGAAGATAGGTCCAAACGAGGTACCAAGGGGCTTTCCTGGATTGGCCAGTCTGCTGTCCCTAAAGTCACTGACAATTGTCAGCAGCAACAGTGGTCTGCAAGATGCAGACATTGTACATGGGGAGGGCTAGAGACATGGAATGGTGGAGATGAGGGTGCCTGGGAGAAAGGTCGGAATCTAGGAGCAGGAAGAACCCCAGCAGAGAAGGGATCTGACCATGTCTTAGCCTCGGAACAAAGGCTGAGCTCTGCTTCCCCATAGCATGAGAGGAGGTGAAGAAGGAAGGAGCTCACCCGGGTGGGAGAGAGAGCTGGGGCACTCGGACTCTGACGGGGTGCTGTGGGGACACAGCTCCGGGGTGGAGGGGAAGGGCTACGCAGGCCATCTGTTGAGGGTGACACTGAGACAGGCTTCCGACTGGGTTCCTTGGGAACAGGTGTTGGAGTTGTTGGGAGAGGGGGCTGTAAGAGAAAGGGGTGAGGAAATACTGGTTCGTTAGACAAGGATTCTCCGTGGAACCTGGAGGATACCAGCTGTCATTAGTCCTGGAGACTAACAGTTTCAGGAAGAGGCTATGCTGTGGCTGGGCTGACCATGGAGATCAGATTCCTTAAAAAATGGCCCACCACAGCAAATATCTCAAAGTCACAAGCTTCTCCATAATTGAAGAAACATCCCATTCCGTGATTCAGTCTCCTCATGCTGACTTGGAGCTAAAGGAGGGTGTGGGAGAATCAGGCTTTTCACAGTAGGTAGGGTAGGGGAGGAAAGGGTATGGAGTATAATTGACTTGTATCTCAGGTGGTTTATGAATGTTGTGTTTAAGATAGAAATGCTAGGGGTGTAAACATAAACAGTTGAGAAAAAACAAATACAATTACTTTAGCAATAGAACATAGACATAAAGCCCTTCTTTAACCCAATGATATCCTTAATGCCTTTTTACAATACATACCCAGCTAGAGGGTGTCATGCTGGTTGCTTGTCTATAAAAATAACGCTTGAAGTACCATATATGTGCATAGATACTTCTTTGCTAAACCACACGTCCCTAATTAAATGTGTATAGTTGCTTGGTACAATATATTAAGTGAGAAAAAATTCTAAGAAAGTTATTTTGTTCCCTAAAATCCACTTGCTCTAGCCAAGAGAAAAGCTCTGATGCCCACACTACCATATCAGGAGGTCTACTGAACACCCACTATCCAATCTCATTGTTTTCTTAGACTTCTTACAGATCTCAAAGATTCCTACTGAGTAGAGCTCTATAACCCTATAATGCTGGGGACATTGAAATATTCCACATTCCCTAAAAGACCACCATTTTATCATGAACTTATTGTAGTGTTTCATTGTTCTAACATTGTTATTTGTTAGTGCCACTTGGCCTGTAGTGAATGACACATTATACCACTGAAAAGGTCATGGAATAGTTTTATTTTAATATATTTTTTATGGTAGAAGAAGGTGATATTATAGTAACTACACACAATGATAGAAAAATTTGAGGCATCATAGCAAAAATAGTGCAGGAGGTCAAGCTTATTGTATGTAGGATAGTGATGACAAAGACTGCAGAGGAACCCTGGATCTGCTTGGGACTGATGCTGAGTGAATAACACTCTTGTATGGTGGGTGATAACATCCTAAAGTGGGTATCTGGAGGGGCACATGAAGTGTACAAAAAATACTACAGTGTTGGTCAAGAATTGAAACTGTCCTTTTAGTATTATTTTACTTTTGGTTATGAGGTTATTTATTTATTTATTTACCACAAATATAATTAAGCTATTCTAATAGAATGAGAAAATACTGCAGAAACTCTTGAGATATTTGCCCCAATTTATGTCAGTATTACTTTTGTTTTCCACTTAACAGTGTAGTCTGTAGAAAGAACATCTTCCAGTAACCTATTCCCATTGATTAAAAAAAAATAGAATTAATAGTAACTGTGTTCCATTGAATTAAAAATTTTGATCTCTGAGTGTTAAGATTTTGTTAGTGATAAAGTGTTACTTTTCTCCATTATTTAGATGATGTCAGCTGCAGTGTGTAATTACTTCATGATGTAACTTTGCTGGAGACTTTGTCTTTGAATGGTTAACATTAGAGAGAATTTACCAGTAACTTTGCTCTATTTGGAGGATTACCATTTTCTTCACAGGAAGAGACCTATGATCTCCCAAGCTCTGTAGTTCCTGATGCTGTGCACTTAGTGACTATGAACTCTTAATTTTAAAACCTCGATTTTCAGCTACAGTGTTTTATTTTGCTAGGGAAAGCTAGAAACTTTGGAGGTGGGAGGGGCTTGAAAACACTATTGTAGTGAGATATCCACCCTGACCCCACCTGTAGCATTGACCACGCCCAGCTCAGGACGGCTCAACAGCAATCTTGGTTATGCCTTTACCCTAGGATTGGATATGAAGTTCTTGCCTTTGCTCTTGTTGCTTCATTGGTGATAGGTCTTACATGTGCTTGTTTTTACTTTTCCTTCTCCTAGAGCATACTTGATATTTTCTATCTTTATATATGTTATGAACAGTAGAGGGCAGCAAATCTGCTAAACAAATAGGAAAACAAGCTATTTAGCTTCACCTCAACTTGGACTTAAAGCAAATCTGTAACAAATGGATAGACTACATTCTCCTTTGTAGAAATACATTTCTATAATAAAATATAGGCTTCCTTTCCCCAGATTCTATCATTCTGCTATAAATCTAAAAATAGCAATTTCCCATTATTAAATGCATTTATAAATATTTATTTATTCTATATTTATATAGAAATAAAAGTTTATTAAATCCTGCTGTTTAACAAAGATTCTGTCTACACTCACAATGAGCTAGAACCTGTGCAAACAGTGACAAGTCATCCTCCGTAATTCTCGAATGCAGTGAGTGGTATACACTTGAGTAGAGCCTTTGTTTTATAGGCTGGGTGTGGTGGCACACACTTGCAATTGCAGGCACTCAGGAGGGAGGGGCAAGAGGATGGTGAGTTTGAAATCAGCCTGGGCTACATTGCAAGATTTCGTCTCAAAAGAATATAAAACAATCAGCAAAATCACTCTCAACTAATAGACACCCCCATCCAAAAATTAAAGGACATGGTACAACTGTCTCTTTGCTGTGGTTGATCGATTGAGTTCCTTTAGTTGCAATCAAATGTGTTCTGTGGCAATCCGGAGCTACTGCTGAAGAACACAGAAACACTGTGATGGTTACTGACACATATGCAGCCAGATAACTGCAGCAAATGTGTCCTAACATTGTCACTACTTCATTACCTCACATCAGGGCAACTCCTTTTCGTCCCCTGCAAGGATGAACACTTAGGAATCCACTAGACGACAGCTACCTCCCAATGTAATTGGCAGAAGAGAGCTGATGGACATTCTGTTTTATTTCAGGCTATTTTACAAACCTAGCAACCTTCTGCTTAATAAGAACCTTATCTCTGGTGTGAGACAAAGTGCTTCAGATACACTACAACCAGAGCTTATGTGTGATTGTCCTTAAAAAGACTCCCTAGAATGGATAATTTTTCAAGTTTCCCCCAACCCAACTTAAAAGGCTTTAAATGCTTTTGAGGTCTGAGAGCCTTTCTGCTTTTCAGTCTTCCCACTGAGCACACACTCTCTGTTATCCTAAACACACTAGAGAAACTAGAGTTTGTTCTCATAAATGCTCAGTGGCTTTCAAGCTTCAAGGCATGGGTTGCTGTGCTTTCTATTTATTTTGCTTTCATAGCAAATACTATTGCATAATGGGATAATTCTTCATGGGTCAAACCATCAGATAAAACTTCCAAATTTTTATGCTTTAATTCTTGGTGGTTTACATTGCATTTCACCTCATCCAATATATGTTCCTTTCTGCTATTGTTATATGAAAGCACAGCTATTATAAGAAAGGTAACAATGTCTTTGTAGATTTTTATTTTATTAAGCATAAGAACAATTAACATGGCTTATCTACAAGTGTATCCAATTCAGATGATCTGTAATGCTTTTATTAATAGTATCCCAGTAGAGTTGCAATGCTTGTCATATGGAGTCTGCACACTGGAAATGACTGTATACTGACCTATGGGTCAGGTCAGTTAAACTGGGGATTGTAAGGCCTTTTCAAGGGTCAGATATTAGGCCCATTTAGTCAGCATTGGGATTTATAATCAAATAAACATTCAATTATGATTATTTGATTATTTACTAAATTTATGAGCTTCAAAGAAATGCATTTACTCTTTGCCTTCCTGTTCAAGCATGATAATTGATAGATTGTCCCCCAATTTCTAAGGATGCATGTGATCTTTTTTTTTGTCAGGGGTTGAGTATTTGTGTTTGGGCAGAAATGCTATACCTCAAGGAATCTCAGAAGCTGAGCTAGAGTTATTGCTGAATTCCATCTATGTCTTGATGGAGACTCACTGGACCTCATAGATAGATTCAATCTCTCACCAATTTTACCCATCTACGGCAAAGGCAACATCAGCTCACATTCACTTAGTGACTCAAGGAGTTATTTACTACATAGGTATCACATGCTGGGCATTGGGTTAGGTATGGAAGATAGATAAAAGGTATGCCAGATATGGTACCTGCTTTCAAGAAATCTAAAGGCATGTCATAGGGATGTCAAAATGGGATATCCTGCATGTATATGGCAAGGAGAGCTACAAACCCACAGCTGAGGGTGAACAAGCCCCCAAAGAAAGCGTACTTTAGTGTGTGTGTGTGTGTGTGTGAGAGAGAGAGAGAGAGAGACTTTCCACAAAAAGAGAGATGATGAAGAATGTTTCCATGGAAGAAAGAACAGATCATGTCAAGGTTTGATGAGAAGGGGGAGAAAGCCCTTTGTGTAGCATGCAGAGAGTGAAACCACAGGATTTTGGTAGGTTTTACTCTTTAGTTTTTTTTTTTTTAATTATATTAATAGATTTTGCTCTAGGGACGAAAAAGAGTTGGGAGAAAATTTGGGAGTGATAGGCTTCTTAAAAATTATCTGGAGACTGGATTCACTAATCAGGGAAACAGACATGTTATGGTGATACAGACAACAGACTGTTGTGGTCTAGAAGGGATACTTGGCCATGACATTTCTCCCCATGAGTAGGAATGTAGTTCATAGAGAGTGAGGGGGATAAAGTAAGGGGATGCTGACAGGGCTCTCTAGGAATTGAAGAGAGCCACACAGAATTGCCTAGCTGTTTATGTAACTTTCAAAAATTAGAACTGAAAAGAACAAAGGGATGTTCTCAAGAATAACCTCTGAGTGAAAAGAGAGAAGATGCATTCTTACATCCTCGACATCCATTTGATGTATGTCACTCTTACCTAGCAAGCCCACCCTCTTTTCTACAGCCTGAGCCTTCAAGACACTTAGCTGGTCTTTCAAACAAACACCCTTGCCCAATTTGCCCTGTGGGTTTTTTGTTTGTTGGTTTATTTTGTTTTTGTTTTTTGGTAATAGTCTCTCCCCATAAAATGGTAATTTAACAAGGCTTGTCAAAATGATCTCTCATATCATTTGTCACAACACTGGCTTCTAACAAGGTGGTTTAGGAGGGATACAAATATAAGACTTCCATTCTTATTTCCTTCCAAGCTACTACTTCCTTCCACTCATCTTTTTCTGTGGCTGAAGAGATTTATCTGTAGCTGGATCTCAGGTCACACCCATGGGTCTTGACCTTCCCATCTCCTAAGACTTGTTAGGAATACTGGGCTTCACTATAGTTACTTGGAACTCAGTTTTCCAATGAAGTGAGGTAAGTACCACTAACTTATTATAGTTAGCCACTAAGTATACTATAGTCCAAAACAATCAAATTATGGTGATGGTGACTAGTAGCTGATGGTTTCTTGCTCAGAGGAGTCAGCACAGTAGTGATGAAGTACACCAAGCCAAAGTTTGCCTAGGCTAAACTGGTTCCCACACATGCCAGCTACGTGACTGTGTGGGATTCAGTTAATACTGCTTCAGTCTCTTGATCGGTATGTAAAACAGGAATTTTGTGCATCTGCTTTATAGGGTTGTTGGGAACACTACATAAGATAAAGGAATTATTACAAACTATAGAGCCTGGTTTGCAGTAGGTACCCATTTATAGATGCTGTTATTACTATCACTGTTGTTGGTACTTAGAACAAAGAGCACAATAGAATGGGGGTGAAATTCAGGTTTACTTGGGAACCTGGAGGCTAGAGTTGCTTTCTGATCAATGACAAGTGCTTACGGGTCTTTCATGCTGCAGAATGGATGACTTCCCCGGCTCATATTCAAAAATACTCCTTGGCTCGGATCGAAATTTTCTGGTGTCTACCTTTCTGTCTGGAGGGTCCCAGTCATGCCTGTAAATGAACAGCAAACCACATGTTGAAAAAATTCTGTGCATAAAGCACCACTGACATACCACCCACAGTCAATTCCTAATTTAGCAGAGTTTATTTATTGATTGTGTGTGTGTGTGTGTGTGTGTGTGTGTGTGGCGCACGCACATGTGCATGTGTGTGCATGCACACAGAAGAAAAGCTTTGGGGGGGTCAGTGCTTTCCTTCCAGCCTGGTACATAGTTTTTTACTTGTATTTGAGAAAAAAGGAGTATATGGTCTTTTGAGTTAGGAAATCCTGGTTCTTAATGGAGTGGGATGAAATTATTCACAAAATGATAGAGAAGTGCTCCAAGAGAGAAAATGAGGACCAAGTTCTAGGTGTAATCAGTGAACTCTACAGCAGAGCCCTCACACTTTCCCCATTTCAGCTTTCATATCTTTGTGAAACTGTGTCCCGTTTACTGTCTGAGCAACAGAACAATATAACTAAGACAATATGTCATAGAAAATACTTAAACCCCACTAATATAAAAACCAGTAACCCCAATAATATCAAAACCAGTAACCTTAAGTACCCTTTCCATTACTACTTATTAATTACCAGTCAAGGTAGTATGGGATTTGTCTTCAGGGGAATCTGAGATTGAATTTTGGTTTGGCTTGGACTCTGTACAAATAGAGCAAGTTATTGTAACATTCAAAGCTGTTTTTTTCCCCTGTAATGGAGAATATGTCCCCTTGGGTTGTTATCAGAATAAAATGATGTAATACAAGGAAAATGCTAAGCATAGTACTTGCCTCATAATCAGCTGTTGGTAAAGGTTACCAAGAACTAGGAGTGTTAGCTACAGTCCTACTAACATAACACAATTGAAATGTGGTCATAAAAATTTCTTTGGATGTCAATAGGTTATTAAATATTTCAGTGGAGAAATGAAAACTAGAATCAGTGGAAATGAGTCACAGACACTTGTTAAAAATGCCTTATTTAAGAATAATTTCTCTTGGTTTCTAGAAGACATGAAATTTCAAATTGTTGAAAATGAAAAATTACCTGCTTAGTCTCTCTCAAATGTGGGACAGCAAATGGGACATGCCAAATATTTCCAGTTATTTTATTTAATTTTGTATGTTTTATTTTGAGGCATAATATTAGTGTGTAGCCTCATTCTGGCTTGGAAGTTATGCAGCTCAGAGTGATCTTGGATTTTTACCTCATCTCTATAAAGACTGAGAGTCCATGACTGATGTACCATACTGTTCCCCATTTCAGCTAAGAATTGGAACTGGACCTGGGGTTCAGGAGCAAGCTACTACCCTTGAGCCACATCTCTAAGGCCCACAGCATTTTGTGTGTGAGTGTGTGTGTATGTGTATGTGTATGTGCATGTGTACATGTGCATATGCATGTACAAGTTTTATTGTTTGTAGTACACAGACAAATGTTCTTCCTAAGAACTACATCTGTGGCCTCTTTATTTCCCATATGCACTTATTGAACAAAAATTAGTTTGTGTCCCTGATACATCAAGTTTAACTGTGAGCATTATGAGAGTGTGACCGCGACTTCCCAGAAAGCATTCAGCATGATCTCAGTAATGATGTCCCCTATTGACTAATATAATAAGTCTTTACGTGCATTCACTCCATAGCACTGGGCTGATTCTTCACTGAGTGCCACTGTGAGTTAATTTTTATCCTAAGAGAAGCCATTATGGGGAAGAAGGAACCTTACTTTTCTGTTGAGGACTGATCTCTTGGTCGTGGCGGGACATGGGGGAGGCTCCTGAGGAGGGCGCCTCCTTAAAAGCATCTGTGCCATTGTCTGAGTGGCTTTTGGAAAGGGGTCTGTAGGTCTGGGTCTTCGCAGCAGGGTGTGACTGAGCACTGTAGGGTGAGTTGTACAGACCTACCACGAAAAACAGAAAACCAACAAAACAAATGACTTAAAAGGTGCATTAAGTTGTTGGGCTCTGCAAAATAACCCTTGGTTTTTAAAAATTATCAACAAGCATATTCATAATATGTACATTAGGTGGTACATTGTTTATTAACTTATCAACATTAATGTATGAATTATCACTTACTAATTAAATATCAATTTGTTTTGCACATAAGTACTGATTATAGTAAATTATCCATTATTGTAGAATTAATGAAAATTCAGGCTATTTAGTAAAAAAATAAACTTACAGATACTCAGCAAGGTTTCTTCCCAATCACAGAAACTAATGTCTTAGGTAAACTTTCAGAGGAAAATTAAAATAGTAGCCAATACCTTGTAATACTGATATATATAAGACAGTTGATATGTTAATTGCAATCCAACAAATATAGAACATGCTGTATGTTTGAGATGCAGCTCCCACATGGGACAGGGGTGTGTGAACCCTCCTGAACAAGCTGATACAAGAAGACACGTGATTGAAAAGTGTTTGAGGCAGTTAATAAAATTCAACTGAGAAAGACATAATAAAAATTACAGGCTGTTTGAAGTGATGAGACAGAGAATATATTATGGATCTTATGGGACTAGAGATGGGCTTGAAGCATTAGTTTTGGTGAGTAGAAGAGGGTGGCAGGAATAGCATGCAAAACACAAAGCCGTGGCTTATTAGAAAATATGAGGTGTTTATAGGTGTTTTGTTGGCTAACTGAAGGATAAAACTTACAGGGCAACATAACTAAACTTCAGCTTATTAATGACCAGTGAGACAGACCCATTTCAATATTTAAAAGTTATAGAAATTCCGAGTCTCTCACTCTCAGAGTCTCAACCTAAGTCTATCTGTGCTTGACTGCTTCTCTTATGGGTCTGCATGCGTGTGGTTCCATGAGAAATAACATTAGACGACACCTGCTCTGAAGTGCTTCTGGGTGAACTCCAGTCAGCCTTGAACTTGTGAGGTGAATCAAGGAGGTGAGTTTGGTGTACCAGGATAGGAGGGAAGTATGAAATAACATGGGATACACAGTCTAACTCAGAGGTCAACAGCTTGATTTTTTTTTAAACCACTTTCTTTCTCAATTATCTTTGGAGCTGAGTGGCAAAATCACCCGGTTAAAGGACTGGTTGCTAGTCACTAGGTTTTAGGGAGGACAGAATCTCAAGAAGTTTTCTTTGAGGGTGATAAGAGTACTCTAAATGGGGGCATAATGGCTAGCTTGGATAGAACCTCCTGATGTGATATTTAGGGAAAACTGAAAAAAAGGGGACATATTTTAGGGATCTCTCACAGGAACATGAAGACCACTCCACAAGAAACTAGCACACTCAAATACAAATGGAATGCCCGGAGCTGAAGTCATTCCATTGAGAGCGTTGGCATCTCTGGAGTCAGAGAAGTGGCCTAGCCAAGAGGGAGTCTCTCACATCTTTCAATGAATGGTTCCATTTTGGAGCAAAAGCCTGGGCATGGTCGTAAAATGCTTTGCTTGACTTGTTTTGGGGAATAATATCTGAGAGGTCTTATACAATTATAATCACCCTTTCTGCCGATAAAAAGATCTTTATTTTGTTGTGTAACCAGGTCACAGTCTGTTCTTTTTTCCCTGTCCCTTCATGCTGTGGTTAAACATTCCTGAAGCTGAGAATAAAACAACGGGATGGGGTGGGGTGGGGGTGGCTGATGCAGAACAGTATTAGTTCCCATTTCCAGGAGAAAGGACCAATCTTTTGTTAGGCATGCTCTGAGAAAGGGAGTAAGCCATCCTCCTCATCACAGGAACTGACAACACGGTGTGGTTGTGGTATGACAAAGGATGGGGCTCTTCCCCACAGTGAAGTGTGACTAGTCATTGCAAGCAAGGAAAGCCATCCTACCTGCGTTGTATGTGTAAGGAGTATTATACATGTCTGTATCCTCATCTAGAAAATGAAACATAAACATGATAATCCAGATTCTGCCATCTTGTCACCAAGACAGCAGAAGGTCAGAGAAATGACAGAAACATAATAGCAAAAAAAGCAATGTATATTTTTCCTAGCACATAAAAGCACTTAGTATTTCCAAATATTGTACTCTGGGGCTCCGCAGAGTGACTGCCTTGTCTATAATGCGATGTATCTCTCTGTCCTGGTCAGACATAAAAAACTGGTTCCCTGTCCCCATTTCCCTAGGCAGATTCTGTGTCCACTGTATCAGAAAGTGCTTCTAAGGTCTCTTGTCAACTGTACTGAGTGAGGATCAAGAGAAACCACTACATACTCTTGTGGTAAGAAACAGACATGCACAGACAGGAACAGTAGCAGGTCTGGAAGTGCACAATGCCCCAGTGTGGATGTAGGCAGATATGTGCAGAGGGCTGAGGCTAGAACATCTGGTAAGCTCCAGGGGTACCTCTTAGGAGGCTTCTTGATAGCTATGGTTAAGGCAGAGGCACACATCTATGATTTAGGGGTAAAGGCAGAATAGGAGACATGCTGAAAAAGAAGGGGCCATCAACTTTGCTGGTGTCTTGATGTTTTTGGGTGAGTGAAGGAAGTGTATACAAAAGTTGAAGTGTATATCCTTCAACCCATAAGCAGTTGATGAAACAAAACAAAACAAAAAACAAAGCAAAATAAAACACAGAAGAACATACGTACCTGGCTTGTGTACCATGTGAATTTGCTTTTAAACATTGTCTTGTACCAGTCCTTTGGCCTGTCAACTGTCTGTCAAAGAGAACATCCAAGAATTAACAATCCTATCTGTTACGTTTGCTTAAGGCTGCTCAGGCCATGATTCAGCCTCTCTCTCTCTCTCTCTCCCCCACACACTTACAGCTGGTGTAAAATAAATGGCAGTCATTCTACTGTGATTGCGAGTATATAATCCTCACTGTCCCCAAAGTAGTTTACCTAACACTCTAAGTATTCAGGGGCTATAGGTGCCACATTCTGAATGATGGACCCAGCATTGCCAAAGGTTTGAATCTTTCCCCTTTCCCCTGCTATCGAGTACCTGAGACAACTTGACTCCAAACATGCTATAGGCTACTCATCAGCTGTGTGGCATGGGGCTGCTTTTTCTCCCTGAAACCTGCAACCTTGTGGACCTGACCTGTTTATAGAACCTCTACAATGCTGATGACTACTTATGATGTTATAACTCTTATAACCCATCTCAGTCCCAGACCCCCAAACCGAGACCTCACACTCTTAAGTTATCACCCCTGCTAATATTTGATATTTCCAATAGTAGATTTGCATTTCTTCTATGACTTGATGGCAATTTCAGCAAACTGTTACTTACGCAGTTTGTTGAGTATCTTATATTTATTGAATTGGAATAGTATGTGTTATGGTTTGATTCATTTAATTTAGAGTAGTAAATAGTGAATATTTGATGAAAGTTCAGCTCCTTTCAATTATTAGTATATGTCTGAAGCAGGGCTTCCCTATGTGTCCTGAACTGGCCTTGAACTCATAACCTGTCCACCTTAGTCTACAGTGTGCTGGATTTACATGGATATACTATGGGCTCAGATTATTACACGTGTGTGTGTGTGTGTGTGTGTGTGTGTGTGTGTGTGTGTGTGTGTGTGTATGTATGTAGTCAATCTGAGATGTTGTTCCTCAGAAGTGATCCTGTGGTTATTTTTTTTTTTTTTTGACAGAGCATCTCTCTCTTACCTGGGCTTTACCAATGAGGGTAGGCAGCCCCAGGTACCGTGCTGTCTTCTACCCTCCAGTTTTGGGATTAAAGTGCTTGCCTCAATGCCAGGCTTTTGGTGTTATGCTGTTATGGTGTTATGCATGGAACCCAGGTCCTCATGCTTGCCCAGAAAGCATTTAACAGATCCATTCCCCTTATCATTAGTATTAAAATTTTCTGAGTGCTTTGTGAAAACATTTAAAATTTTAACTAGGGGATATTCTGATTAGCTTCAGTGAAGATAAAATCGGCATTTACTAGTCTAAGTGACTAAAATGCCAAATGTTTCAGACAATGCAAAGTCATGTTGCATATATATGTATAAGTCTATCTATGATTTCAAAGCTTTATGACAAGACATTGGAGTACATACAACTTTTGCCTTGCATTCTTTATGCGTGCCAGGCTTTAGGTGTGTTAGAAGCAGTGGGTTACAATACAAATAGGAAATTAATGTCCAAATATTAAACAACATTCAAATCCTGGAGCCTTTAGTTACTAATTAATGCTTTCTAGAACTAGAAATCTGAGAAAGTGATGCATCTCTTCTTTCTTTGGATGTGTGTACAGGTGTGCATGCCCATGTGAGCATGTAGAAGCTAGAGACAGATGTCGGACACCCTCTGCTTTGGTTCTCTGCCTTATTTTCTTGAGCCAGGGTCTCTCACAATGTATGTTAAGGGGTTTTCAATAGTCATTAGCTAAAATCAGCAGGGAAACTCCAATGTCTGTGGAGTGAAGAACTGAGCGAACCCTGTTTACTGATGCAATTCTGTCTCACAGGCTGTGAAACTCAATTCTCTTTTCTAACTGTAGCACAACCATTTGCTCAGTGAGATCTTCATCTTGACTATATCAGCACTAGTTATGGCAGGAGTTAGCCCTTCTGTGCATAGGTAAATTAAAGAGCATCGGATTTTCTAAGGTCATTGTCCTGATTTAAAGTATTGGGTAGGTAACCTGTGTTTGGCTGATGTCCCCAGGCTTGTTCTTTTCTGAGGGGAAATGGTGGCGTCTGTTGGGGGAAGGGAAACTTCGATTGGCCCAGCATGTAATATATGAGAGCAGAATTTTAAGAACCAAAGCATTGGTTAGGATTTGTCAGAGTGGAAAATGGTGTTTATATTGAATTTTATATATGTGGTCATTGAATTTTTCACCTAGAAACTTGCTGCACGGTATTTACATCTATTTTGACTTCTGGAAATAGACAATTCTGACAGTCACAAGGGATGTGAATAAACATCTCTTCTATTGAGAGCCTTGTAGGCTTCTTTTACAATGGGGGCTTGATGGCACCATGATTAAATATATGACCAAATGATAGGAACTGGTGTCGGGGGTGATCTATAAAGAGGCAGGAATCTGCTCTTTGCTGGAACCTGTGGGTTGGGACTTAAGTCAGTGAGGTACCTGCCATGTAAGTATGACAACCTGGGTTCCTATTTCTAGCACCCATTTAAAAAGCTGGACATGGCAGAGGGATCCTGTAATCCTAGGTCTGAGGGGGCAAAATCATCTCTGGGTTTGGTGAGAAAGCTTGGACAGAAATTGAGGACTATATCCAGTTTTAACCTCTACCCTCTCTGTGCACACCCATACACACATGTGCACGTGTCCACATACATGCATACACAGAAACATATATACACGAAATAACCTGAACATATCTTTAGGGGACCACTTATTTTCTGAAGGCAGGCTTATCTTTCATTAAACTTCCTTTTCTATTATACTCTTATGCTATTAGAGCAGCAACAACAAAAGGAACATTCAGCTGTGTATAAAAGTAGTTTCTCACTGTACCAGACACAACCGGCAGGGACAGGGAGGCCGAATAAGGGAGTTATATCACTGTATATGGCAAATGCATCCTGACGGACAGCATTGTTGTCTGCACTTGCCAGAGGGTCTATATCAGGCAGGATCTCACAGTTATACCATCTGCTAGCTTTATATGGTGAGTACAGAGAAGCCAGGAAATGCCCAGTCGGCTGGCAGAGAGACTGTGAAGCTGCTAAAGCAGGGACTTACAAAGTCAGTGTCCCTTTCTAAAAGGAGTACTTTTCATTCCTCTTGTCGATGCCATTTGGGAGCATGTTATGTCTCACACTGAGATTAGGAATGCGGAAGTTCACACTTGGGAAATTTGCTTTTGGATGTGTCCTTCAAAAGCATTTATTGCATAGACTAACTTCTGGGACTCTGCTATGCAGCTGTCATCTACGACCTTATCAGAACAGGCTTCAACTTCCATCTTCTTGTAGTCATGAAACATCAGCACTGTGCACTAATTTAACACGCAGACATTAAAAAAAAAAGACATTTTCTACATATAACACAACCACAATCTTACTCTAATTTTGCCCCTGATAGCTCTAAAATATACAAACAATTGTTACATTTGGATCAGAAAAAAGAAATCTTGCATGCCACTTAACTAGCCAGCCTCCTTACACAGTCTCATGGGCTCTGAGCCCTGGAGATTTTTGTTACTGTTTTTAAGATGGCAGTAAAAGACTGATGTAGGCATCCCAGTCACAGGAGAAAGGGTGCTCTGCAAAGCTGTCACCCTTCATTGCAAGGACTCTAAAGTATTGAGTATTCAGTTACTGTCTTCAGAAGTTTCTGGACCACTTTACACTATCCTGTTACCATGGGAACAGTTATCTAAGAGGATACCCAAACATGGCACACTGATTCAGTGCTGATTTTAGTGTATATACCGAGCAGGAAGCTGAGGCAACTTGAGTCTGATAATCATTACTTTCTACATGAATGAGGAAAGAAAATAACCTTGGATATTCTTGGCCTAGGGATGGCAAGATTCAATGTTTATAAATACAGATCTATACTTGGATGTATGATTCGTAGGTTGCAAAGTAGTAAACATGAACAGGATCCTCCTTGTAAAGTTTTAAAGGTCTGAGCAAGTTACAAAGAAAAGGCCAGGGTTCCTTTTAAGGAACTTCTGCAGTGACTAATAATCCACTTTCAGTTTTCTATAAGGGAAATTAACAACACATGCTTAGTGGATGGGTGTAGTTGCTTATATTTGGCATCAGAAAATATAAACCTTTTTAATATTAATTGGGTTTTACTTACCACCTCCATTTTATATTTTTTCCTTGAAAACCTAACAAAGACTTGAGAATCAAACATTACAGATTAAAATCTATAGATGAAAAAGAACAGATCACATTGATGTGTCCATTTTTACTTATCATTTACTAACTTAAAAACATATCTTAAGGTTTTAGATAGAATGTTTCAGACAGAATCTATAACTGCACAGAGAGCAATAATCTCTTAGTTTTTGTGTATACTGTGTCTCAAGGGCTAATAGGCAAAATCCATGACACACCATTCCTGTCTGAGTCACTGCCCCTTCATTATCATGGGAAAATTAAAATTTAGTCATTTGAGTCAGAAATTCTGAGAGGAAAAAAAATGTCAAAACACTGCCACCAGAAACATACAACTGTCATCGAACGGAGCAGATTAGTAACAAGCCCTGGGATTTTTTCCTGTCACTCAAATATGACTATCATCATTCCAACTCAGATTTTTCGAGCTTTTATTAGTCACATTCAATATCCTTAACAATCTGAGAAGTCTAAATCCCAAGTGCATGCTATATGGATATACTTTTATTTTTTGGGCTTCAGCTACAGTATCAAAGCCAAGAATAAATCAATTCTGAACTCACGTCTGTATATAAAACATGATCACTAAACTCAAAAAAAAAACACAAAAAAAAACAAAAAAACTCATGCTTCACTTTTTAAAAGTTTTCAAATGTTTCCCCTCTCACCATTGTGTCTGTCCCGATATCCTTCACATTCTTTCCTAGGTCCCTTACTGTCCCCGGCTCCCTGTGTTTCCATTCAGGGAAAGCTACTCTGGCAGCACCTCAGCCCCTTTATGTGGGCACACAGGCAATGTCTATGCCTCAGCGGCTCCCTCCTCCTCTTACCCCCCACCAAGTTCACCTGCAAAGATGCCATGGCGCTCATCCTGGCTCCCTGGCCCTCTTTCTCTGCCACGACAGACCTCCTCGTGCAGGGATGTGGTCAGCACTCAGCGCCTGCCCAGGGGCTTGGGGGGGCCTGAGAAAGGGTGCCCCTGCACACTGAGTAACACTTTGGCAGAGTTTAAAGACTTAAAAAAAAAGAAATGCCCTCAACGCTTTGACTTATCCAGGAGTTCTCAGCTGGCTCAGCTGAGAGGGACATGTAACATTTCCCTTTTCACAGACAGTTTTTCCTTCCTATGATATTACCTCCTTTGCTCCAATCATCTCACCTCCCAAGTCCCAGTTCACAGCTTCCCATCCCCTGGTGTGGAACTCACATCCATTTCAAGAAACAAATCATCACTTGTCTTTTTTTTTTCTCTTTTCTTTTACAGTGCATGTGGGAATTGGATGCTGTGAAAGGACTTACTCCCTTCACTCCCTTTCTGTTTTCTCTTAGGCTTTGCCACTCTTTGATAGAAAGTTGAAAAAAAATGTCATTTAAGAAAACCCACATTTTCACAATTTCCAAATTCAAAGGGAAAATAGACTGTGCCATCGTTTTCACCCACAGTTTTGTCCCTCTGCCACAAGCATGGTATTCATGGGAGCTCTGATGGCTTAGACAGTCCTCATGATAGACCCTAGGAATGCACCACGCCTGCACAATCCATCCTTTGTCAGGCTCATGTGCAGACCGGGAAAGACATGCATGCTGACAGGCATGGCTTACCGCTCCAATGACGGTGGGGATGCAGACTCATCCACAGGGCCGATCCCTGGGTAATGGGTGCCTTGATAACCGTCACTCTCTTCTTCCTCTGAGGATCTGTAGAGGGGATGGAGCTTCCCATGGTGCCATCCAGAGACTGGGCATGCTGGGAATACGTCTCTGCAGAATCTGTGCAGAAAATACAGTGACTCGAAGCACACTGAATGCACAGACTATAGCTTAATTGTACCTTTTGTACACTGATTGCCAATCATGATAGAACCCCATTTCTATGTCCATGCCTTTTCACATACTTGACCCCGCCCCCATTCAGAAGTGGATATTATGTATACGTATGTATGGAACAATAAGGACCTCACCATCTTACAAAGAAGGGTGAGAGGAAGAAAATTTGCCAAATGATATGTGCAGCCACGTTGGGGGACACTGAATGTGTCTCACCTCACCTTCCTTGCAGTAATCTTGGAGGGAAAGGGTCACCCCTGTAGATGAGGGGCAGAAGTTGAAAGAAGCCTAGTAACTTCACTCATGTCATTAGTCACATATGATTCTTGTGAAGCTGCTGACTACCATATGCAGAAGTACTGACAAGTAAATTTAGAGAGGCAATAGGATTATTGATCCAAAGATATGATTTCATAAAATAAATCAAAAATAAAATTCAGTTAATTTTTTTTTCTTTCAATCTAAACATACATTAGCAAGGCTAATGGATAAATAACTGCTTTTCAATGATTACAATTTATTGAATTTTTATTTAATATTGCTGGTTTTATGGGAAAATACCAATGCTATGGCTTTTTATCCTTTGAGAACAACAATGTCCTAAGGACCAAAGTTACACGAGGCTTATCAACTTTTCCATCTTCATGTTAATGTTATGAAGCTCTAGAACACTGTCAGGAGTAATAGAGAGCATGCACACTACCTAGTCTGCTCATTCTGAGTTAAAAATACAGTTTGAAAAAAACAAACAACATTATTGGTGGTCACATCATACAATAGTGATGTGACTTCCTGCTGCTTTGAGATTTCAGAACTTGGTGAGCAGGACTGACTGAGCCCTCATTTAGACTCTGTGTGGCCTGCTTTAGCTGGCCTGTCTCTGAGTTCTTTCTGTGGAAGCTGAAAAATTCTTAGGTTTCATGGTAGCATTTAGTGATTATATTCATATATGTGTGTATGGAATACATTTTCATACATATGTGTTTTACAATTAATATTTATAACCTGTGTAGATAATGAACCTTTATAACATACAATATCCTGTATAGATAGTATAATGAACTATTATATCATACATATAAATGTACTTTTCATGAAGCCATGTAAATAATCACAAATAAACATTTTGTAACTTTAACTCATTTTTATATAGGTGTTTAGTGTTACATGCTTTCTAGGCCGATATCATTAATCATAACTATTATAAATTAAGCCCATTTCCAATTTAGTTTGTGACATAAAGCATTTTAAGGCATTTTTGAATTGAATGGATGAGTCTAGGAATGAAACTGCTTCATGTGTCAATGGTTAGCCATACAAATCCTGTTTTCCCAAGCTATTTTAAATGAAGTCACAGTGTTGATTTTTTAATATAGTTCACCCTGGTTGACTTTTTAATTCAATTCCTCAAAGGCCTTGATGAGACAGCCACAATGCTAGGATTTTTTTTTTGTCAACAACCAATGTTTTCTGAATACATAGGATGTGGTACAGTCCTAGCCTAAGAAACAGTACCAAGTTTGTCTTCATGTATAGTTCATATGAGTGTACAAACACACAGATGGTGCAATGAAAGGGAAAATATTCTTCTTATATGGCCCTCAGGCTGTTATATTTGCAATCCTTTGTCTTTGACTAAATCTAGGAAGTTCACCTAGGGTAGGGTAGACTTGTAAATTCCACTCCCATCATTGCCTTGGCCAGTTGGAATTTGTTCAATGTTTATACAGGAACTTTCTTTCCATGTTAAACAGTTTATGTTTAAAATCTACTCACTGCTTAGGTCTAAAGTAAAAGCCTGTCTGTACTTGAGTATATGTATGTATATGTGTGTGTGTGTGTGTGTATATATATTAGTAATCAGGAAAACTGATTACTACCATAGGCAATGGGGTAAAGAGTCACATTTAATAATTATTTAGTGAAATGTTAGGGCTGAAACAATTTAGAAAGTTTCATTTTCATGTCGAATAATGCATAATTACATTTCAAAAATCTTGAAATAGCAGAGTCTTCTTTTAAAACTGAGCTGTGGACTGGTGGTTAAAGAGAAAAAATTGGCACAAGCAAGCTCTTCTACTTACACTCTAAAAGGAGAGCATTACAAGCTTCGCAAATGGCTCCCAGGAGTAGCATTAGAGAAGACACAAATATATCTAGACTCCCCTTTAATGAGTCCCATGACTATACTTAAAACCTTATAGAAGCTTTGTTGGCTATGGAAGCTGAATTCTACAATGAGTGGGCTTGACATTGACACAAAATCTTCTTTAGTAAACTTGTGGTATCATGTTTGTTCAGTTTAGCACCAGTGTGGGAAGAGGGAAAGGCGTCTGCTACCAACTACACAATGGTGTACAGTTCTGTGTTCTAGAGTTGTCTTCTGTTGTTGACCTGCAGTGGCTGTAAGATGGGCCCTCTCTTTTGAGAAGTTTGTGTACATAGGCTCTCCTTAGCATCCTTTCTGCTCTGTTATTCTGGAAAGTTTTAGGTTCTCAATCATGGGCACATAATGGTTAAATTTGGAAGATTTTTCAAAGAACATTTTGGAATTTTTCCATTGAATTTTTAGCAACTAAGAAAAGTTATATTATTTTTAAACTATGCTAATATATTTTGTGACATAAGAATGTTTCTTTCTTAATGTAGCTCAGGACTTTTCCAGGAGGCTCTAAAGAGTTAATAAGACCCACAAAATTATACGCTTGAAGTTTTGAAATGAATATTTATATGTTCATTTTTTATATAAAACCATGTAAAATCTATTTACAGGTTAGGTCTAAAGTCAAAGCTGGTCTATACTTGAGTATTTATATTTTTTTTTTATTTGGTAGAATGGGGAAAACTGTGTCTACTAAGACAAGCCATGGGACAAAGAGTCATACTTTGTGTGTGTTTGGTGTCCTTAGAGGTTAGAAGAGAGAGTCAGATCCCTTGGAACTGGAGTCACAGAAGGTTGTGGGCCATGTCTTTGCTAAATTTTTAATCTCCAATGGGTTAATAACTTGTCTTTATAAACTGTAGGATCTTCTTTGAAGGGAGCTCTCTTTTACTTCCTGCTGCCCCAATGCTGACTTGTGGCCTCCAAACCTCAGCTTGATAGTTTATGATGTTATGATCCAGGACTCGACTGTTTGATCCCCTCTACACTATTTCAATGTTCAACTATTTTTCTAAATCTATAACTGAGGAATAGTCTAGAATGAGAGTTCTTCCACAAAGGATTAAGCCAGCTCAATAGAAAAGCACTATATTAATGTTTTCTGGGCCTTCTAAGCTCCCCTCTCTCAAAGGTATTTTCCTGTTCTTTCTATCCTGTCACTTAAATACCAACTACCATTCTCCAGGCTTAGCTACAGATGGAATTGTCACCACTGAATAGCAAGAGACCTCGCTTCAATTTCTTTGTATTCTAATTCCTCCAATCTTAGAGTCACCAGAGAGTGGTGTTGGCCACTCCTGCCTCAACTTCATCACCTTATATTTTTCTCTGGTGATATACAGTGGCCGTGCTAAAGTTGCCATGAAAACCATGATTGCAGTACTTACCAAGTGATCTGCCAGCTGCATGATAAGGCTGGAGTTGAGTGAGGCTGGAAGGGGAGTACGCAGAAGGGGAAAAAGGCCTCTGATAGTAACTCACTGGACTCACTGCACCACCAGAGTTGCCATTGATGGTTATCTGGCTCTGAGAAAAGCACATGGACCCTGTTTTAGCACCAGTTCTCTGTAAACATCACCCCTTTAAGTGGCAGCAAGAGTTTCCAACTATAGGACAGTAATCAAGTACAGGGCTTTTAATTACTTAGAGAACTGATGTCAGAGCGACAAAGGACCTTTTTTTTTTTTCAGTTTTCTCCATCCTGTCTTTTTTGTCATTCTTTTATATTTACCTGAGGGCATGGAAGTGGTTAGGAAGAGTGTGAGCAGCTGGGCAGGAGGCATACCACCTCTGTCTTTAGAGGTGCCGCCCGACAGGGGTCGCTGCCAAACAAACGGGTAGGACAACTGAGCTCTTACAAACTCTCTTTCTG